TTGCACTTTAGTGCTTTTCATTGGGTTTGTCTGTCTGTCTGTCTGTCTGTTACTCTCAATCTCACTTCTCGAGTGTCTGTTCGTCTCACAAAGGATACGACCTACCTAACGGGCAATGAAGGTCAGAAATTTCGAACAGTTTTGTCTGAAAATGCTCCGTTGCAGAGCTAGAGCGCTTCCGCCATTGTACGGCTGATGCGTAGTCGGCCATTTTTATCGCTGAGGAAAAGGCGCATGCGCTTATATGGGTCCGCTTGCTCTGTGTATCTTGAAGGCACGAGAAGTCACAGCGAAGGGCGTGTATCGACTCCCACATGCTATCTACTACTGTAGCTAGCCCGTGTCAGCGGGAGACCACGAGTATAATAGCAGCCCAGCCCATCAATTAGCGGTACCGCGCATGCCCAGTTCGCCGAGGGTTTGCACTTTAGTGCTTTTCATTGGGTTTGTGTGTGTGTCTGTCTGTCTGTCTGTCTGTCTGTTACTCGTCATCTCACTTCTCGAGTGTTCGTTCGTCTCACAAAGGATACCACCTACTGAACGGGCAATGAAGGTCAGAAATTTCGAACGGTTTTCAAAGCTACAGCGCGAAAAAGCCAATATGCAAATACACAACGGCTTACCTACTACGGCATGATCGATCCGCGTGCTCTGCGTACCTCGGAGGCACCAGAAGATGCAACGCAGGGCGTGTATCGCCTCTCGCATGCTATCTAGTAGTGTAGTTATCCCGCGTCAGACTCTGCGCGAGCTGGCAAGAGAGCTAAAACTAAACCCAGCCCATCAATTAGTGGTACAGCGCACTTCAGTGCTTTTCATTAATGCGGCAAGAAAGGTCACTTCAAAGCAGTTTGTAGGACAGTTGGAGGAGTAGAGACTGACTCTGATACAAAGGGTCCCTTCCTAGGAGCTATCAATGGGGGAGACTCCAAGGATGAGGATTGGGCTGAAGAACTCACTCTGCAAGGAAACCTACCCTACACATAGATACAGGAGCAGAGGTGACTGTCGTCTCAGAGAAGCTGTGGAGATCAGTTGGCAGAGCAGAGCTAACTCCATCAGACAGGACCTTGTGTGGCCCAGACTCCCGTCCGATCCCAACACTAGGGAAGTTCCTCGGTACCTTCACCCATGGCACAAGACAGGCTGAGGGGGACGTCTACGTCGTCAAAAGGTTGACGAAGTCTCTCCTCGGCAGACCAACTATCCGAGATCTCCAACTCGTGAAGGTCATTGCTGCAGTCGACCTAGCTCTCAAGGGCAAGTATTTGAAGGCCTTGGGAAGATGACAGGTGACTATCAGATCGAACTCCGTGACGACGCTCAACCGTTCGCACTCTCCACACTGAGGAGAGTAGCCATTCCCCTTCTCAAGAGTGTCCGACAGGAACTGGATCACATGGAGAAGGGTGGGGTTATCACGAAGGTGAACCAGCCCACCGAGTGGTGTGCGAGAATGGTGGTTGTGCCCAAGCAAACGGCAAAGTCCGCATCTGTGTGGATCTGTCGAAGCTCAACGAAAGCGTGAAGAGGGAGAGACATCCACTGCCCGCGGTGGAACAGACCTTAGCACAGTCGGCCGGAGCCAAACTGTTCATGAAGTTGGATGCCAACTCCGAGTTTTGGCAAATCCCCTTAGCTCTTGCATCCTCTCTCCTCACCACATTCATTACACCATTCGGCAGTTACAGATGCAACCGACTCCTGTTTGGAATCTCATCAGCTCCTGAGCACTTCCAGAGACGGATGTCCGAAGCTCTGACAGGCCTAGCTGGAACGGTCTGCATGATGGACGACATACTCATTCACGGGGCGACATGGGAGTAACACAACCAGAGACTGCAGGCAGTACTGCAATGACTCAGTGACCTGGGAATGACTCTGAATGCTGAGAAATGCACATTTGCCCAGACCTCCGTGAAGTTTCTTGGTCACGTGGTCGACACCCAAGGAATCCGACCTGACCGATAGAGGCAGTCGTCCAGTATACCACTCGCACCAGTGATGGTGAAGTCCGCTGTTTTCTGGGGATGGTAAACCAACTGAGCAAGTTTTCTCCCAATCTCGCAGACCACACTCAGCCACTTCGCGAACTGCTGGGGAAGGACAGGACATGGATGTGAGAGGACGCACAGCGACAGGCCTTCGAGAAAGTGAAACAGATGTTGGTGACCAGTCCAGTTCTCGCCTTATTCGATCCGAACCTCGAGACGATCCTCTCCGCAGATGCATCATCCTATGGACTCGGAGAGGTGCTACTTCAGAAACAGGTCACGGGACAGCTCCTGCCGGTGGCTTACATATTCAGGTCCATGACTCCAACCGAGAGAAGGTATGCTCAGATAGAAAAAGAAGCCTTAGCCTTCACTTGGGCATGCGAACGTCTGTCGGACTACCTTATTGGACTCCAGTTCCACATACAGACGGACCACAAGCCACTAGTCCCACTGTTTAGCACCAATGATCTCGAAGAACTGCCAGTCAGGGTACAGCGATTCAGAATGTGAATGATGCGATTCAACTTCACCATCAGCCATGTACCTGGCAACGAGCTGACCATTGCTGATGCACTATCACGAGCACCAGTGTCCACACCGTCAGGGGAAGACCAATCTCTTCAATCGGAAACCACTGCCTACGTCAACCTCGTGGTAGAGAGCATTCCTGCAACAGAGAAGCGACTACAAGAGATCCAAGAGCTTCAAGAGAAAGACCCGGTATGCCAGAAGCTTGCCGAATTCTGCGGGTCTGGCTGGACTCAGAAGAGAACACTCTCAGCTGACCTCAAGCCTTACTTCTGCGTCTCAGCTCAGCTCTCCATCGTAAAAGATCTGCTACTGCGTGGAAAGAGGATCATCGTTCCACCTCCACTGAGGAAGACACTGCTCCAGAAACTCCACAGTGGACACCAGGGGATAGCAAAGTGCAGGGAGAGATCCAGACAGTGAACCTGGTGGCCAGGGCTATCTAAAGAGCTGGAGGAGCTGGTACTCAACTGCCCAGAATGCCTGAGATCTCAACGACAGAGACCTCAGCCTCTCACACCTACTCCCTTGCCACAGTTACCTTGGCAAAAGGTTGCAATTGATCTGTTCGACTGGAAACAGGAGACGTATCTTCTAGTAGTCGATTACTTTTCTCGATACATAGAGATCGCTCGATTCAATCGTCCGACTACAACAGAAGCCGTCACTCACCTTAAAAGCATCTTTGCTCACCATGGCATCCCAGAAACCCTCATCTCTGATAACAGGCCTCAATATGCCTCCCAAGAATTTGCCGAGTTTGCTCAAGATTACGAGTTCCAACACCGTACCAGCAGCCCCTACTTTCCTCAGGGGAATGGTGAGGCAGAGAGAGCAGTGGGGACAATCAAAAGTCTCCTCGGAAAGAAAGGAGATCCATACAAGGTACTTCTGGCCTACAGGTCGACACCTCTGCAGATTGGCTATAGTCCCGTCGAGCTTCTAATGGGTCGACTCCTGAGATCCACAGTTCCAACTACAAGAGCTCAGAGAGACCCAGAGTTCCAGACCTTACCTCTGTCAGGGCTCGGGACCAGCAGAGTAAAGCCAGGCAGAAGAGGAACCATGACGCCCATCATGGAGCCAGAGAATTACCACCTATGAAGCCTGGAGACCAGGTATGGATTCCCTAGAGACAAAGGGAGGGGGAAGTACAAGATGAAGTAGCGCCACAATCCTACAATGTAGATTCTGGAGGCGATACCATCCGGCGGAATGGATGTGACCTGGTCCGTCTACCCAATGCTGAGACTGATGCCACCCCCGAGGAACCAAGCAAGCAGACAGATGTAGAGCCTGGTGAACAGGCCCAAATGAACAATTCCGATTCGAACGGTACGAACGACTCGTCCGACGCAATCAATGCGACTGGCGAGAGTATTGAAACACAGAAGTACGGATAGATTGAATGAAGCAAATATGAGGGCCTCTGAAACACCTGAGCAATTGCTCTAACCGCTAATGCAACTACCCTGTGTTACGGCGAGACTCGTGTTACTATATAGCTCCCTCGATGACGCATGATGACCTAGCATAATAATATACAGCGATGCTACAACTCGCGCGTTTATAGCGCCGTGGGTTTGCACTTTAGTACAAATGGGCACATTGAACACAAAGCTCCTTATCAAAACGACTACAACGCACAGACTCAGAGGATGGCCAAATGGGCACTTTCCCTACTAATGCCCTCCCCTGGAGTCACTTCCCTACATTTGACTTGATTGACTTCGTGTTTGTCAAACATTGTCATAGAGCAAGCTACTTTGCTTTGCTCTCATGCAATGCTGTGCCTCCACATGTTGAAAGTGTGCATAGCACAGTGGTTGGAGGTTTGCCTTTGTGTTGTGTTGTGTTTTGTTGTAGATTCGAACCCCTACCAGCTGAGTTGCCCTGGTAGCTCAGTTGGTAGAGCGCTCGCCTAGACTGCAGAGTGTCGTGGGTTCGAATCCCACCTAGGGCAACTCTTCTTCTAAAGAAAGAGCTGTCCTGGGTGTAGTTGACTTGTTTGCCTTGCCTTACCTTTCTACCTCGCTACCAAATTCGTGAGTCATGCTTAAGAGGGGAGATGTAGTAGTAGCTACAGTATTGGGTACTACTATTGATGTATGCAAGGTTGTACCTAGTGCGCATGTGTAGTAGGGTGTATAAATGTGACATGTATGTATGCTGTATTCATTCTTCTGACTATTCTGCTGAATCATTGTACGAGCGGCTCAGCCGATAACATAGTCCACATTACTACACTGCCCAAGGGCGAAATTGTCTACCACGACACTGTGGCTCCTTTGCTAGCTATTCTCATTGTTCTGCTCTAAGTAGCTAAAAACCCCAGTGCAGAATGCAGTGGTAGCTACAACCCTTGCATTTTTTACACCTCAGTTGCTAGGCAAGAATGAAAGTGGGAAATTTCCTCCTAAATCAAGAGAGTAATCATTAATCACTTCAAAGCACTTCAGTGCGATCTCCTACACATTAATGTTTTAAAAAGCACTTGATTGTGCGCTCTGCTCGTAAAAACTATTTACCATTTCAGTTGAAAGTGGTCAATCTCAGTGAAAAAACAATTAAACATGTGTAGCATGTAGTAAGGTGGCAATTACAAGTAAAATAATTATTATCAGCATTCATGCAATAAAGACATAAGATAGGTATAGAAGTATAGTCCTTCGTTAATTAAAAGTGCGAAAATTTTAATTCAAAGTTGACATGTTTTTTGCACCTCACAGTTCTTCCCCCTTATCTTCATTTCCACGTTACTAACACCACGATAAGTTTTGCCATCATTCCAAATAAGCTTAGCATACTTTGAATGACCTGTGTGAGGACCATTAAGATTACTAAAATAGCAGTCTTTGTACCACCATCCTGCTTGCATCAAATATGCACAATTAGTTTTGTAATTATCATTATCACTGTCAATAGTTGTAAACATTCGGCCATTTTGGTAAGCAAATGAATCTCGTCCAGTCCCTTTTCCCCCTCCAACAATAAGTTTGTATTTGGTAGACGCTCCATCTACTTTGAATGTCGTGTAGGTCCACGTAAGGTTTGAGCCATCATCTTCAAAAATCATGTCGATCCTCAATTCCACATCATTTTGAGATGTCAGGGCATGGATATTTTTAAGTCCGTACCAAAACTCTCCCTCTAGGTCTCCAAATCCATTCTCATAGTCATCCCACTTTCGGACAAAGTTCACTTTTCCTTTTGGTAGTCTTCTCTGGATGACAAGCCAACCTCCACCGTCTGTCACCATGTCACAACGAGCAAGCATGTGGACATTTGGACTAAAGGGGCTTAGGCCTGCAATATGCCGCACACTATAAACACCACTTGGCAATGTAGAAACCAGTTGTTTTATCTGCAAAATTGAGGTATATAGCTATACTTAACATAATACTAAAACAAGTTCACCTGACAACAGTTCTCATAATAAGTCGTTGGACAGGATTGACTAATGGCTAGAATTTCCTTTAGCTTTGATTGAAAGCTTTCTCCGCAATTTACTTTGGAAGCTGCAGTGGCATTGTTCGCAGATGATGAAAAACCAAGTAGCAGGCACACAAACAGAAATGATACTAGTTTTAGCATTTTTAATAGCGGAAAGATTTCAAACAAAACAAAAAATCAACTGCAATGGTGGATTCTGTTTACCCTGGCTTTTATACTTGTGCAAAAGCCATATCCCACAATGCACGTAATATTCGTGTTTGTCGAGCATGTGGAATTTCACAGCATAGTTGCTAAATTCATCGGACCATACGACTGCGAACGTGATGTTTATAATATCTGGAATAAGCTATGAAACTTGTGCAAAAGCCATATCCCACAATCAGATATGAATCCACGTATTATTCGTGTTTGTCGAGCATGTGGGATTTCACAGCATAACTTTACGACTGCAAGCGTGAGGTTATCAAAATCTGGAATTGTTACCCAAACCCAAACATGCGTATCACAAGAATGGGGAATGTCATGGCATATTTGCAACAATAGGATGATGGTAACATTATCATCAAGACAAACATAATATATAATATAGAGAAGGGTGAATGTCAAATAACATACGAGTTGTTATTCTAGATGCGGATAACAGCAACTCCGGGGAGTGTGTCCTACCCTACAGGGTCGCGTTAGCTATATTATGTTTATGACACACTATACTCGAAGTCTATGTTGTAAGTCGGCCTATAAGATGCAATTTGGATTTTGTTGGCGAGAATACTGATCACTCACATTTTATACCCCTGTGCACCCTAAACTCATGGTCTGGGTGCAGCTACAAGGTCAGTTTGTGGGGAATGCACAGTGCGCCCAATGCCCACTCGCAAGGTGCTGACAGCTTAGTTGGCAACATATGGCATCGTTACAATGGAAGAGCTCCAGCATCAACCGTAGAGAAGGTTAACCTCAGAGAGCCAATCCACGTTCGCTTGGATTCGTTGTGTACTTGATGTAAGCGAGTGAAGTACAGGCTATTCAAATCCTGAATGCTTTGAATATAGCTGGAGTATGCAATGCTTACATCCCCATATTCGTGGAGATCGCCCACGCACAAAATTCCGAATAGGAATCGTGCGCGCGTGTGTGCACTCGGGTCATGTGAGGTTAGACTGCATCATTGGAGCGCACAATGGTGAAGTAGTTAGCATGACTAAGCATGATACGTGCCCTTGCTAATCAGCAAGTTATACTTTTCACAGAGCCTGCACAACATACATAGTAACTAGCAGGCAAATGCATGGAATTTTTGGCGAGTGAGACAACGACTGTATCTACACGAGCCATCCTAGCCTATTTACATCTTGCACCTTGGAACCACAAGAGGTACAGCCTCGGTCAGGCACCGAAGAGTGCAGCGAATGCCGCCGAATGGATGAGAGTACTCTGACTAGCTAGATCGCACAATTAGACGACGTACACTCCTGCTCGCCAATTAACAATTGTAGTAGGTGAATTTTTGGCGATCAGGAGTGAGTGCAGTGCCCGTCACAAATTTCCGCCTTCAGACACCTGGGTATAGGCTCGCTTCGCTCACCAATAATTATGCACTAACTAACATGACACATACTTTGGCGTTGTAGCGAACACACAATGACTGCCTGTATCTGCACGAGCCATCCTAGCCGATGTATATACAACTTGCACCTTGGAACCACCAAGATTGGAAAGAGGTATATAATATATACAGCCTCGGCGACGCGTCGAAGAGCGCAGCAAATGGCGCTGAATAGACGATAGTTACAGGCAACCTGTAAAAATTTTGGAATCGAGTAATCCTGACGCATGAGTATATTATAGTAGCATGACATACGGACGAAAAAACGAGCGCGTTCGGACCACTACGTTAGCTCGCTCCAGCTAGTAGGCGAATGTAGGGCGTTTATGGTGAGCGGGAGCGAGCACACAATGGCTGTATCTGCACTAGCCATCCTAGCCTATGTAAGTACAACTTGCAACTTGGAACCACGAAGATTGGGAAGACGTACAGCTCGGTAGGGCATCGAAGGAGCGCAGCGAATGCCACCGAATGTTTCTCGCTAGCATCGAGGATGTAGGGATATAAAGAAGCGCGTAATGCAAACACATGCGCAGTTGGACGACGTAGGGTCGTATCACGCCGTTCGTGTGAACTTTTACTGAACAAAAGTCTCCCTTGTTTCCACCTTCTAGCTTTTTGTGTGAAAAATAAAACATGCATGCTATGTTACAATGTTGCTGGAAACTTGAGTGTGACTTCATAAAACTCAGTTATTTCAAGTCGAACTCAAGCTAGTGTAAAAAATTCACTAACTAACATTTTACACATGGAACTTTAAAAGCATAAAGTAAGTCCCTGGAGGGCACTTCTCATGAAGCACAGGTGTGAGAATATGTGCACCTGAGGATTTCAGAAATGAGATTTTACCATTAGTGTAAAATATCTTATGACAACCCAGATTTGCTGAGTGTATAATTAACAATGACTTAGATATTACAGTCTGACATCTATTGTCAAAGGGAATATGGCAGTACATAAGGGCTAATTTACTAAACATAGAACTAAACAATTGGGCCCACTGCAAAAACGCAAATAAGATTCCGTTTTCAGTACATCTATATAAGGAAGCACATGAAACTTTGATAACCCCAATACCATGGCAACAGGTTAATGCCCATACGATCATTACATCACCATAATAATTATTGTGCAAGTCAACAACTCTCCCAAAGGATTTTTTTAAATGACATGGGGATTGTGGGAGGTCTCACCTGCAGTGTTGTAATAGTGACACTGTTGATAATTAACAGAAAAGCACTAAAGTGCAAACCCTCGGCGAAGTAGCTCGCAGAGAGTCTGACACGGACTAGCTACAGTAGTAGATAGCACGCGAGAGTCGATACACGCCATTCGTTGTGACTTCTTGTGCCTTCAAGCAGAGCAAGCGGACACGGTCGTGCTAAATATAAGCGCATGCGCATCATCCGCCAGCGATAAAATGGCGACTACCGGGCATTAGCCATACAATGCTGGAAGCGCTCTAGCTCTGCAACGGATCATTTTCAGAGAAAACCCCACATATTTTCTGACCCTCGTCGCCCGTTAGGTAGATGGTATCGTTTCTGGGACGAACAGACACCCGAGAAGTGAGATTGAGAGTAACAGACACACAGACAGACAAACCCAACTACAGTACCCTCGCTGCGCATGCGCGCCAAGGGTAATTATCTGAACCATGCATAGCAAGCATTGTTTTAGAAAGGCAAGTCACGTTAATGTGGCAACAATGATAAACTATACACTGAGACAAGTGCCCTAAACACTTACCATAATATAATTATTTGACAGTGTGTGGTCATTACTACATATTAGGCCACACAGAGTTAATTGGTTGTCTCCAGATGAAGCTAATTCTAACTTATTTACTTCCAATGGAAGTAATACAAACGGTGAAAGAGAATCTAAGCTGGGGTGTCTGTGTTCTCGTGTTTCATGTGTGTGTGTGTGTGCGCGCAGTGTGTGTGTGGTGTGTGTGTGTGCATAGCATAATTATATAGGATCTTCGCGCATCCAGCAATGTCACTTTGGGATGAATGACCTTGTATAACATTATCCTGCTAGAGTATACCCTTGAGTATATCACTCATGTAACTAAGAACAGTCATTTAGAGGTATAAGCATCCATTCTCCTTGGCATTCGAGCACATGCAAAATGTATTTTTCTCACATCCAACGTGGTACTAGCACGGGTTGGGCATGTGCTCAATATGATGTTATTCTAACAACACTATCAAAAGCTAACAGCAAAATGTCCCCAAGTGGCTCTCCCACAGACAATGTAGCTACTTGTGAAAACTCTCACCTTACAATAGCATTCCCCAGACTACCTATGTAGCCTTGCGGTATTAGAGTGAGCTCAAAAGCTAACAGCAAATGTCCCCTAGTGGCTCTCCCACAGAATGGAGTGCAATGTACTCTCACCTTACAATAGTATTCCTCAAACTACCTATGTAGTCTTGCGGTAGCTATTACAGTTAGAGCAGGCGGACAAAGATAAATTGCACAATTGCCACACACGAAACTCAGCACATGTAGTGATCAGGTGCAAAATATTGACTTGCCATACTTTTCCCCATTGTGTGCCCTGCCTGAATGAAAAGGAACGGCAAAATGTAAGGTAAGTCACGTTTTCTATTAAACATGAAATAGATACAGTTTGCTATAATCATCTGTGAATCACAAAAAAACCATATCAACACTCACTCTTTTTCAAAGATGTGCTAGACACATGCATGATTGTGTTGGCCAGATTCAAACTATTGAATTTCATTTAGAAGAGGAATGTGGTTGTTTTTACAGTGTGCATTTGTAGGATAGCATTCTTGTCAGTGTAATATGAGACAAGCGTGGTGGACTATATAAGATATTCCCCTGCAGTGACCGTGAGTTCATGCAGTAGCCAATAGGTCTTGTACACTCAATTCCATTTGTGCAAATGTGGAAGTTTGTTATGTTGTGTGTGCAGAGAAAGCCATCAGTAAGGAAAGAAATGCAGTTCTTCGTGGTCTTTAGCCTCCTGATTACTCTCTGCTGCAGTGAATGCAATGAAAGTTTCCCAGGAGGTAGGTATCAGTATTGGGTAAATACAAGAGCGCTTAGCTACAGCATGCAAGCTGCGCTAGGTATTTAGCTAGAGCGAACATTAGCTGTACGGCATTTCTAAAGTGCAGTACTCCTTATTTCAACCGGGATCTTAATTGCACTGGGCCCAACCTTTTCAACGCCATTTGCAAAACAATAGATTCGTGATGTAGCTATCGAGAATTCAGTATTATGCGGAAGGTTTGTTGTACAGCAGAGGCATCGCGTATGGAAAATATTCATACGAATACTTGCATCAATCTTGAGGCGGATTATAGAACGAAGTAATTATTTAATGGGGAACTTTTTTCAGAAACAGACCTTGCTACATCATCCGTGTGCCGAATATCTATAAATAGCAAAACACATAATAATGTGCCGGCAGGATGGCAAGCGGTAGTTATGCGTGACGCTCGCGCTATTAATATACGCAGCATTGCACTAGCTAGTTACCCTTCTCACACGGTATAAACAGTAGCTATATACTACGGACTAGTCCATGGGTCCTTATGAGGTAAGCAGTACACAATCAGGGGCGTAGACACAAATCAAAACGGGGCTTGAGACTTTTTGTGGTGCGCACGCGCGCAATGATATATATAATGTCGCTCTTATCGTGGAGGCTAGCTCATCGTCTGGACCGGAAGCAGCAGAGCGTCTTTCGAGCGAACTCCAGCGCTGCGGGCGACCGGAAAGTGTGGCGTGACATCCTACTTCGTGTATAGAGGCGCGCACCATCGCTGGATTTTCCGCCGCGCGCAAGTTGCGCGCCAGTGCACGCCTGTAATTAACCGTCTGGGGCTGCTTCCTGGAAAGGTTTTTAACTGTTGTCCACCACAAAAGCCGAGATGTTACAGTATGCTTGTTAACCTGTATCCTGCTCTTCAATAATCATACCAGCACAACCCAAATCTATAATTAACTACTTTCATTACACAGGACTTATTCCTTATGGAGAAGGTATTGGAGATCAGTGCCTTGATGGTACCAAAGAGAGAATATGTAATGAGTCACTAATGAAGGGTCAATGTAACTGAAAAACTGCCGTTGGATGTAAATTACACTTTCTACGGTCGTAATTACTCCAGTGTGTATGTAAGTCTTGCAGATTGTTATTGTATTTCAACATTATCGTTCAAAACAACTCAGATATGTGAGAATGGACTGATATCATTTGAGGATTGCAAAGGGTTTTGTAAGAACCAAACGGATTTAAGAGCGTCTTCAGTTCCTGTGATTGCTGGAATCTGGCAAGATATAAGTCTTTTTTATTTTAATTCCAGTGGTGGCAATTATAAAGTCCCTTATGCTTATTACAAAGAAAGAACGAATAATACTGAAAATTCAGGATGCTTTGTGGAAAGCAAAAAAAAATTGAGCAACATCTTCAACGTGGATTTGGAGAAAGACTGTCATATTTTAATCTAACACACATGTTAATTTCAACCTGGCATGCTATTGACAATACCAATGGCACTGTAAGTTATATACGTAAAGGGAATTTGACTGTAAACATGAAGGCTAAATTTGGGACCACACAATATAGGACCCAGTGAAAAAATGTAATTAGGTTTCCGTTATTTTTCTAAATTTAGCCTCTACTATATAGGGCTCCATTCTCTTTAATCATCTTCAGAATATTGTGTTATAGGCCTTTGTAATCACTGGTACAGGTCCAGATTGTCATAGCAACTGAGGATGGGAAGCGAGATACGTACGCCCTGTTAATATACAATGAATGGAATGTGACTGAGGAGCAGAGAATGCAAATTGGATTCAGTGCAGGTTCACCACAGCCCATTTCACAAACATATCTTTTTATTTTTTATCACGTTACTCAGGTTGTGCTGAGAAATATTTTCCATTGTCGTCTATTGCTGGTAACAGCAACATTGGTGTACCTGGAGTTTTTGCATTTCGAATTGACCAGGAAAACATAATTGACCCAAGCAAAGGTAGTAGTATTTCTGTATAGGTTTATTTTATGAGAGGCAGCCACTAATAACTTAGCTACCAAATTCCACAGCCTACACTTTTTGATGTCATGCATGTGCTAAGGAAATGCAATAGTGCTTGGTTGGAGATCAGACACTGAGGATAAATTATTGTCCATGTAGTACAAGGACAAAGTACAAGTCGTAACAGTTGATATAGAAATCTCCATGAGTAACATGGCAACAAAATGGTTGCCCAGCATAATTATTCAGTCACCCAGAACCTCTTAATGGGGCTAAAGCTAATATCAATGACTTAGTCTCAGACATAGTTGTGAGCACTTCTTCCTTATCCCTCTCTCCTTGTTATCCCGGGCATAATTCTCTGTCAATAGCAACTTTTCAGCTCAGACATCAGTTTGGATTTCTGAAACCTTACAAAACCTGCCTTGTAGATATCTATACCTCCTTGTAATATTTCGCATGTCGATTATTTACCCCAGAGCAGAAATGATCATATATGAGTATTAATCGCATTCATGCTGTTTGCACATGCTTTCTTGCACGCAATTGAATATGTTCTGGCAAGCAAAACGTAAGCAAACATGTAATCAGGGCAACGCCTAGCGTGCACGGCAATCTATGGCAATTACCCTGGCTCCTACCTCTGTCTGTGGTTGTTTTAGGGTCTTGACTGATTGCCAACTGTCCATGTCGCCAACAGTAGGTATATCGTAGCAAACGGCATATGAGTTGGCTCCGTGCATTGGCGTTAAATAAGTAATGAAAAGCACTGAAGTGCAAACCCTCGGCGCACTGTGACGCGCACGCGTAAGTAAACGCATGCGCCGTACCACTAATGGACTAGGTTTAGTTTTAGCTTGGTCTCTTGCCAGCTCGCGCAGAGTCTGATGCGGGCTAACTACACTACTAGATAGCATGCGAGAGGCGATACACGCCCTGCGTTGCATCTTCTGGTGCCTCCAAAGTACGCAGAGCACGCGGATCGATCAGACCGCGGTAAGCCATCCCGTCCGTTGTGTATTTGCATATTGGCTTTTTCGCGCTCTAGCTTTGCAACGGAGCAGTTTCAGAGAAAACCCCACAAACGTTCTGACATTCATCGCCCGTTCGGTAGGTGGTATCCTTTGTGAGACGAAAGAACACTCGAGAAGTGAGATGAAGAGTAACAGACAGACTGACAGACAGACAGACAGACAGACAGACAGACCCAAGTACTGTAACCCTCGCTGCGCATGCGCGCCGAGGGTTAACTATAGCAGACGGTTTCGTCGTCCTACCTAGAATTGCATTAGTCTCGCGGCGTGGAGCATCTGGCCCCACAAGACTAGCATCAGCAGTATTGTGAACACAGTTGGAAAAGAAATTCCTTTAGTTGTCGCAACAGCAAGGAATGAAGGTCCTCTTCGGAGTCGCCTTCCTTGCTGCTGTTATCAGCAGTATAGATGGCACATCACGCTCTAAACAAGGTAATTCTTTCGTCATGATGGAAGGGATTGAGCATAATCAAGGGATCCTTTTAGGAAAAAAAACAACTACATTTTACCCACAAACCACTTGTGTTAAACGCGAGCATTTATTAAGACTATAGCTGAGCACGGACTGTTATTACACAAACAATGAGTGGCAATGCATTTAGCGCGAACACAATGCAGGGGTAGTTCTAAACACTGTTCTATGAAAGGTGCTGGTGATAGATATGTCTAGAACACGTGCCATTAATTGATGTCTTTGGTGTTGGTATTATGATTTGCAGCAGTTGATTGCGGAGATCTTCCTGACCCACAGAATGGCAAAGTAAATTACACCTCTACTATGCTCGATTCCTTGGCAAACTATACCTGCACTGCTGACTGTGATTTTATGCTAACTCGGGAGTGTCTGCCAGATGGCAGTTGGTCGGGGAGAGAACCAGAGTGCCCTGGTGAGCAGCTAAGATACAATCTTCAACTTACACCCTTAAAAGATAGAAATTCGAAGGTGTATCAAAATGTGGTCCTGATTTATTAACTCTTTGTCTTTCTGGTGGATCTGCTTTTACTTCAAGAAATCAGCTACACTATAATTGCATGTTCATGCAACAAGGGTTACATAGTTGGTTTGTCTGTCTGTGTGCAAAACAACACAACCACTACCCAGGACATTACACTGTATGCTCAACACCTCTATGTATTAACTGACGCAATTATTGCCAATGAAATTCAAATCTTCTCTGCAGATATCGCCTGCCGTGGTCTTGAAAACTGTCATCCAGAAAATGGTTGGTTGAGCCTTATAAGTGGTTCTCAAGGTCTGGTGGCAAAGTACGGCTGTGAACTTGGTTACATTCCCAACAACACAAGAGACACCAGGCACTGTGAGTGTGGGAGCTGGTCTGGAGATGAAATACGCTGTGAAGGTAGGAGGGCTAGCTAATTTTTGAGATCAAAGCGAGCTTAGCTACTGTGGTTGTCTGAATGTGTGACTTCACATAAGAACATGACCCACACCACCAAATACAGTATATAGCTAATCTGAATGTACCAACAAAATTTTGCTACCGTGTTGCTCAACAAGAAGTGAAATCTACAGTTCATCCATATGTTGTACCTATTTTCAGAAATGTGTCCTGAAGTGGGTCAAGATAAGAAATGTGGTAAACGTAAGTTTTCTGAATATTACTGTTATTTTTGCTATTGTTTGTGAAAAAATGAATAGATTCACTGATCCTAGCATGTGATAGCCGAAAAGACGGAATCAGTAACACATCTAAATTCCATCTCAACGGATCATATGAATTTTTCCAAGAGCCTTTGAGAAGTATACAGGCAAGTGAGCAATGAATTCATAGCTCTACCAGTTAGGTCTGTTTCCATAGGTGTACGATAATGGCTCAGTGCATTTCAATGACGGCTCTCTCTCAATAGTGGTACTTAATGTCACCAAAAATGATGGAGCTCATTTCTTTTACGATTCGGAAATGAGTAACCCCCATTATTTCAACAATCAGAAGCGGTACGTAAAGTGTCTTCTAAACATGGCAATGGAAGATTTCAACCTCAAACACATGTTTATCGTAACTTGGAAAGACTATTGGTTCCATAATAAATCAAAGGTAATGGATCCACCACAATGTCACTGAGTAACAATAATTTTCTGACAACAGATCACATTTCAGCTTGCTATAGTGTCAGACTCATCTACAACACATGCCCTGTTTCTCTATGGTGATATAAACTTAGAGGATACACCAGTTCTAACAGGACTCCGAGCAGGTAACCATTACTGTCTTTCTTCACATGAAATACCCAAAGATGACATACAGTGGAAATTCCAAGTAGGGATCCTACGAGATAGGGACGACCTCTACAATGGACACTTGTTTGAACCTCACGCTAATACTTTAGTGTATTATTTGAGGGATGACCTCTCTACAAGGGACAAAATTGATGACCCTATAATGTACAGGTTCCACTGTGTCTATTGCCTAACAAATTGTAAATATTTAACTAGCAGCCATAGACTGCATTCACGAGCAGAATCAACAACAGTGTTGTCTGTGATTCATAAGTGCCACTATCTCCACCCAGAGAATGCTCCCTGCCACAGTCAAACCTTCTACCACTTCCCTGTGAACCCACTGCACGAGACTTCACCAGACATTGGGATCAGTGGAGCATACTTCCTTAGAATTGACGAGATACCTGGAGGTAAATACTAGACACAACAATTTTTTGGCGACGAAGCCACTCTGTTGTAATTTATATCTATAGGGATCCACTGCAACTGTAGCATTGATGAGATCGTGAACCCCATATAATCGACACTCTGAATGGAAGTTGGGCAGTATATTATGACTGCAGAGAAGGGTTCTCGATGACTGGAGACAACCCCCGACAGTGTGTCAATGGTGTATGGATGGGAACAGCCCCTCAATGCAAAAGAAGTAAGAGGAAATTAGAGTGAAGTTTAATGATTAGCTCATGGTTGTTAAATTTACAGCATGTCCTGGTCTAGGTGGTCCAGGTTGCGACAACAGTGAGTTCAAAACATATTTTGTTACACAATAAATTTTAATTAATATAAATACTCTGCAGAAGCTTTGATTCCAGTATGTGAGAATGTGGGAAATGGAGTCGATAGGGTGCCAAATGAGACACATTCTGCTCGAGTCAATGGATCCTTCACTTTCTTTGGAACACCTTTGCACTACATACATGTAAGTGTTTTCTAGAAAAAATAACTGTGACCAAAACGTTGCAACCTGACCGATTTTCAGATTTATCACAACGGCACGGTGCATTTCAACAATGGCTCACTCTCAATAGCAGTGTTTCAGACAATGTTACGAGATGATAAAGACACCTATTTACTCTATGATTCTAAAGGCACTGAACCTGGATACTTCACTGCTCAAAAGGAGTATGTGTCATGCCTTCTAAGATCGGCATCAATAACAGATTTCAACTTGAGAGACTTATTTATTGTGACTTGGAAAAATTATCTTTTTGCCACCGAAATGAAGGTAAGATGAAGCAAGTGTCTGTGGATTGTGCATTGAGTAACGCATAACCATCACAAAACAGAGAGTCACATTCCAGCTTGCTCTGGCATCAGATTCCTCCTCTGCCACCACCTATGCTCTCCTCCTATACAACGGGACTAATTTGGACCAAGATTTTACTCCATCAGTGGTGACAGGTTTCAAAACAGGTTTGGAGGAATAAGGCAGTATAATTATATAGGGGTTAAATTTCATTAGGGACCAGTGCAAAATTGACATAATATTTTATAAATCTGCCACATTCCCATTATCTAACACAATTGCTACTGTATGTACTGCAATTTTCCACTTTGTGAAGAGTTTAACAGCTGCATAAAAAGTGTGTAACACAGTGAAGGGAAATGCATTTGTGGCTAGCTATACTTTTTTACTTTCTCTACAGGCAATGCCAGCTGCAACAATCAGTCATTCTACAATTTTCCAATACCATTGAAGCTGAATAGAGAGGGACCATACTATTATACTGAGGGCAATGGAGCCTACATATATGAAATTGACCAGAAACCAAGGGGTAATATAATTTTCACCTAATAACACATAATTATTAGGAGTAAATGTAATTTTTGTAGAACTTCACTGCAACTGTAGTACTCTGGAGCTGGATGATTCCATGAGCGGAGAGATTAATAACATAGTCAACACTCTATCAGGGAGCTGGGCTCAATACAATTGCAGTAATCAACAGTATCAACAAAGACTCTGTGTAAACGGCTGTTGGAAAGATTCATTCCCTACTACGAATGGTGAGGTACCAATAACTACAGCAGCATTTTCAGATGAACTATTTATGCATTCTACCTTCTGCATAGCCTCACCTCTTATATAACAAAAACAAAAAACATTTTGTCTGTGTCACCTCCTTTAACAATACATCTTTTTCGCAGGTATTCGATTTGCTATTGACAATGAAAATAAATGTAAAAAGGAAGGTATCATTGAAGTGTCCCATAATGGAGAATGGGGCTCTGTGTGTGATGATTACTGGAATATAGATGATGCTAATGTGGCATGCAAAATGCTTGGATTTTTAGATTTTGGTGAGTCCTAAAGAATACAGTAGCCTGCCAAAGTATATAATATTGTGAACAGCTCTGTTACTGGTTTTTCTACCATTTATTCTAGTTGTGTAAACCATTAGTATACTAATTTAACCAATAAAACTGTATTGCTTGTAGAAAAAGAGACAACCACCCCATAGTATAGCTAGTAAAATGAGCTATGAGGCATCTTTGCATATTATTATGCCTGCATTTTACGATGCCTTTACCAGTTTCACAGCTAGAATGCTTGAAATAGTCACATATTAACATAATCAAGTTTGTCCCCGCAGGTGCAACAGCAACTCGTAGAGGAAGGTTCACGTCTGGATATCGTGGAGATTGGAAGTACTGGCTGGACGACGTAAAATGTATTGGAGACGAGCAGTCACTATTTGATTGCCCACGTCGAGAAGAAGGACACAACTGCCGTCAAAGAGAGAGAGCTGGTGTCAAATGCATAGGTTTGTGATTGCTATATACAACAACTATAAAAATTACTGTATGCTTTAATTCTCAGATGGGTGTGATATTGGTATACGCCAAAGAGATGACAAAATAATAGAATTGTATTACAGGGGCGAATGGAGGTCAGTATGTGATAAGCACTGGAGTGAAAACGATGCTAAGGTAGCCTGCAGGGAACTTGGAAAGTCACCTGACGGTAAGGGATATTATGGAATGAAACCCCGAAGAACTTCTTAGTAGAGGATTCCTAATCGGTTCTGTCCAATAATGGGGAAAAACATAAGTGCACATTTTATAACCATTCTGTCACATTTACCCTCAGTCCCCAAGATAGTTTGTTGTCTGCTATAATATAAAGGCAATGGCTACGTGTTTCGTCCCGTCCTTACATACCTATAAACCTTTGCTTGTTTTAAGTCATGTACATATCAACGTGTATGCATACATACATACATAGCTACCTCTGCATGCATCCATGAAAACCAAGAAAGAAAACAAGAAGTAGGGATCATACATGTTCTCTTTTCTTGATTTAGGCATTTTCTTTCCATTTACGGCGTGATATCCCTACAACAAACTCCACTGTTACTAACTGTGGAAACAGCAAAAAAATAGTTGTTACCTAGCACTCAAATGGATTTTTGGCACACTTGTGCCGTAAAAGCCTTTTGTCGCATATTGCACTGGTAACAACTAATACTTGTTCATTTTGCAGGTGCTATACAAGGCATTGGAGGGGAATTTGAAGTAGGTGAAGTGGTAAAGTACTGGATGCAGGATGTCAACTGCAATGGAGACGAAGAGTCCTTGTTTGCCTGTGTACATCGTGGTATTGGACGTCATAGCTGTGGCCGGAGGAATAGGGCTAAAGTTATATGTGAAGGTGTGTGTGATTACTTGTAGGTTTAACTATCTCGCTACGCAAATTTAGAGTCTTGCCTCTCTCTGAAAAATTGACCAATTTGTCATAGTGAATGCTTGTTCTTAAAAGTATGCTGCCAATTTTTCGGAAAGTGGCAAGACTAAATTTATTGGTTAAAAATAAAAAGCCTGGTCTGAACAAAACATATAAAAAGAAGGTAGCTATAATTATATATACTGTATTTTGTTGAGGAAATGTCCAGACCAGGCCCTTTTAACCACCATCCTTTGATCTGTCTAGTGATCTGTAAATTTTTCACTACACGTCCTACAGGCTGATCACACGAGCAGATATTTTACGTGGAAACACTTTCTCTTCAAAAACAATTGATTAACAATGATACTACCTTTTGTATAACTTCCACATTGTTAATTTGTGTGAATAATCAGTTATTGTGTATTTTGTATCTGTTGGTCATCGGCATCATCAAGAGCTGTGCTTTGGAGGAATCCATCATTAACCCTCGGCGCGCATGCGCAGCGAGGGTCGTTCTGTCTGTCGTCTGTGTGTGTGTGTGTGTGTGTGTGTGTGTGTGTATCGACGCTTATTCTGGCACTACAGGCTACGAAGCGGCCAATTAGCGATACCAACGAGCCTGAAAATCAAAAGGGCGATTTTCCTGAAACTACTGCGTTCGAGAGCGACAAACTGGCACCGTCGCGGACCGTGTTCTGTGGCCCAACCCATCAATAAGCGGTGCACATGCGTATATTAGACGCGATCAACGTGGCTCACCCCGACCTGATCCGCTTGCTCTGTGTACCTTGGAGGCACAAGAAACCACAGCGACGGGCGTGTATCGACTCCCGCATGCTATCTACTACCGTAGCTAGCCCGTGTCAGACTCTCAGCGAGCTAGCGGGAGACTCCGAGGGTTTGCACTTCAGTGCTTTTCATTTATCCAGCAAGCCCTCTAACTATGAAAATGCTTAAAGCTTGACATAGGTTTACTCCAGTCTACTATTATACTAAATATATATTACCTTTGCCTCATTAGATTACTAACGGTGAGGTTTTGAAGTGAGATATTATTATTTCTCTGGGCATGTGACTTAATAATTATAACACTCTGTTTGAAGTGGACTGCATATCTCTCGAACGCAGTCGTTTCAGGAAAATCGTCCTTTTACTTTTCAGGCTCGCGTACTTCTGAAGCCGCTGGTATCGCTAATAGAGCGTCGACACACAGACACTGACAAACTAACCCTCGCTGCGCATGCTCGCCGAGGGTTAACAAGAGTGTCAAACGAAGTGCTGCGTGCGTATAGCCATTGGTATGAAACAATTCGGCCAGCGCTGTTAAAACAATGTTAGCTATGGGTCATGGTAATTGGATTAACATTAGTAGGAAATGCAAGACCTCCTTCAATCTTGTGAACGATGACACTAACATTGTATAGCCATATGCCCCCACACACACACACATTTTCATTCCCTGGAGGCGACCCTGCACGTTCCAAGTTAATTAGACAATGATAACGGAGGGTGCGATCGATGCAAAAGCGGGAACAGGAGAAGTATAAACATTTTTTGACCACTACAGCTATTAGCTGTTCATAGGACTTGACCTGGCTTATTGTTTTAAGATGTTTTGAGCCAATGATCGGCACTTCACCTAGCTTCATTTTACCACATAATATTGGCCGATTCTGACTTCTTAGATGTGCTACAAGTGGACAATAGCTATATACATGGTGTCTCTGCATACAAAAGATGCCACAATGGATACATACTCAACAATGGTGACATCACAGCTTAACACACACACATTGATACACATGCAGCCAGAATCACACAGTTGCCATATGGCTATACAATGTTAGTGTCATCGTTCACAAGATGTCTATTATAGGCCTTGGAAGAGGCACGTTTTGAAGCATGCTCTAGATTTGACTTAGCACTTATGCCAAAGCTACACAGACGCAGTGAGTCACGAAGTGCCATTGGGATGTGAAGTCAATACTATCTCCCAAAAGACAAAAAGTGTCACTGGGGGATAGTGGTGGGAGGTCTCACCTGCAGCATTGCACCAAAGGACACAGATGTTCATTATTCCATTATCAAAACAGTGCATAGTAAGCATTGTTTTAGAAGGACGAGTCACGTTCACCACGTCGACAACAACGATAAACAAAGCTATTATCCCTACTGGACTGCATGGCAACTGTTATATAATTATGGTGGCCAGGGAAGTACCTATTTGGCTTACTTTTGACTTGAAGGTTTAAAAGTGGGATATAGCTAGCGATGACTCAAAATAATATTAAAAAAAGGAGAGAACAAGGGGTCATTACACTGCCAGCTAACTCTTAGGGTGGAGATATTGGTCCATAGACTATAACTAGTTGTGAAGGGCTAGCAAGTCATTCTCGCCCATTTTGAGGCGTTTTATAAACAGATCACATGAGATTTGACTGTGCCATCCCTCCATAGAGTGTCTACTGATGCTAATAATCATGAATTTTCACATTTATATTTACAATGCATGCAATGTGTCTTTTGTTGTGGGAGGAATTATGACCTTTCCACTTTAAGATTCTGTTGTGTTATGAATTGTTACGTAACCAAACTCACACCACAAATGACTGTACTATGTGTATGTGCCAGCTGTAGCTATTTGGCCTGATTATTCTGATTCATTATTACCATTCTATTGTGATTAAAACGTGTCAAAATGGACATATTAACAGATAACTAGAGCTATGAATATTATGGAGCCTTTAGGAGTTGATCCAGATATATCCACACATATATGAATGCTTGATGGTTTATGTAGTGCATACTAACTGGAATTTTGCTGCACATCTGTATGTCAGCAATGCTAAGTATGCAGAGGCTACCACTATAAGTACATCACACTTGACAAAAAATTTATTCTCTCACGAGCAGTCAAAGATGTGGTTCTTTCTGGTCTTTGCCATTCTGACTGTTGTCACCAGCCAAGGCAACGATTGTGATGTATCTTGGAGAGATGAGTGGCTTTCTAATGGTAGGTCAAAATAGTAATTAGTGCTCTTAATTTCAAGAAAAACACAATAATATAATTATTCAGATGGCTCAAAACAACTAACAGAGGAGTGTTTACATGGATAAGCTACAATCTAGAGCCATGCTAATATCATCATTGCCTGTTACTGAAACAGGGATGGTATAGGATCTTTTGATAGTTATAGCTGATGCTAAGAACAGCTGTATATATTACAGCCACTAGAAAATTTGGCAAGTTTTCATCTTTTCCCACTTTTTAAGCAACCAAAAAATTTACAACATAATTATTGTAGGTTAAAGTATGGTTCCAAGTGGTAACAAAGCTGTTTACTATGATGCATGAGGGATGTAGCTAGAAAGCACAAGCCGTTACATTGGTAAAAGTAACGGTGTTTCTACTTTTTTCATTTTCTCTCTTATGACTGTCCCAATAGGACTTCCTTTCGGTGATGACGCTAGCGATGAGTGTCTTGATGGAAATGAAAACGGTTGTGGGATGATAACTATGGAGGGTGTAGTAGTTGAAGAAAAAGAGCTGAAAACAACTTATACTTTCTTTGATCAACCCTTTCACAGTGTGTTTGTAAGTTTTTCTAAATATTATTTTGATTTCGACATCAAAGCTGCTACCATATAGGTGTGTGAAAATGGTCTAATATCATTTGAAGAGGACAGTGACGATTTCTGTGATTATCCAACAGATTTAAAAAATTCTACAGCATATTTAATTGTCGGTTTTTTTGGAGAAGATATTCAACTTCACCCCCATAGCAATGGAACACCTGCTGCGTATTACCAGGAGAGAAGTAAATACGACGAAAATGGATGTTTCCTTGAGAGCAAGAAAAATGTTATGGGACCATCTTCAGATCAAAGAACTTGAATTTAATGCAACACATATTTTTGTTTCTACCTGGCACGGCATTGAAAGTGGAGGTGGAGGCACTGTAAGTGTACTTTTACATTCTCTGTTTGTGTGCAATAAGTTTAGTCTTTCACAAGTGCCTCCATAGAATAGAATATAGTAATATCATGGTACTAATTGATGAGGCTGTGCTACAGCGTGCAGTCTAGCTCTATCGCAGGCAATGATTAGCGATTGGGACAGCACTGAACGTAGATATTTTATCACAAGAAACAAAAAACATTTTGGTGCAGGTCCAGATTGTCATAGCAACTCAGGAAAACAAGAGTGACACCTATGCTCTACTCATTCATAATATCACAAAACTGAGCAAGGAAGACAAGGAGCAAATAGGATTCACTGCAGGTTTTTCACCACTATTATTATTATTGTGGAACTCAAAGCAACTTACACAATCTCTCTTACTTTACCCAGATGATGGGACATATTATTCATTGTCCAACATTACAGGAGACAGCAACATTGGCGTTCCTGGGGTTTATGTCTTTCGGATCGATAAGCCATATATAGACCCATATATGGGTAAGGACTATCCTTTTGTTAATGTTGCACAACTAGTATATAAGCCTTTATTGGCGTGAAATGATTTGCTGCAGGGGCTGCATGGTTATACCATTATAAATTGGATCGTGTTTTTGTTTTGTCACATCAAGAAGTAATACCACAATTTAAAGCTGTGTCTTGTTGTCCACTCTATGTAAACCATTGGTCCTTTGAAAGTGGAATATACTTCTCCCCCTGACTATATTCAGGAATCCGTTTTTTTAATGGGCGTGAAAATGACACTCAAGGCCTAATCGAGGTTTACTATCAAGGAGAATGGAGATCAGTGTGCGATGACTATTGGACTGATCATGATGCAAAAGTTGCTTGTGAACAACTTGGATTTTCCAAATCTAACTTTAGTGAGTGCCGTAAACTATTAATAAACACATGCTGCATTTTTCATCATTCAACCAGGTGCCAACGCAACCAAACGAGGAGAATTTGAAAGGGAATTCTATAAGAACACGATAAGTCTGAACTTTACTGGCTCGATGATGTCCAGTGCACAGGAGATGAGACATCTTTGTTTAAGTGTAACATAGAGGAAATGGGAACCCATAACTGTGGCCGAAAAGAAAGAGCAGGAGTGAAATGCATAGGTTGTTAATATTGTAGGGTGTTGAAAAGTTTATTTATCTTTTGTGTTACAGAGACCGAAATTCGTTTTGTTGACGGAAGTGATGAAATAATTGAAGTGCGGAATGGAAGTGAGTGGAGGTCTGTGTGTATCAATCACTGGACTCTGAATGATGTGGAAGTAGCTTGCAGACAACTTGGAATTGAAACTGATGGTAAGTGTACAGAATAATTATTGCTTGTGCCCAATGCTGACCATGACTGCAAACAGGCTTCCACACAACTGTCATTGAAAGAGAAGGAAAAGGAGAAAACTATTGGTTGGACTTTGTGAATTGTCGTGGGGACGAAGAGTCTTTGTTTGCCTGCCACCATTTGGGGCTGGGAGAACACAAGTGTGACAATGGAGAGAGGGCTGGGGATCAAATGTCACAAATAAGGTATGTCTGTTTCCTTTTTCTGTGATCATTTTGTGCCTCGTGCTAATTTTGCATTGCACTTTTCTATGCTCTCCCTATTAGTTTAAGAAAGCTGAAAGACGCTGCGATAACATTTACACTGTAGTTAGTTCGTAACTACCATCTTCTATCTTATTAAATGACTTAATGATTATTAAAGTGGTTCACATTATGATTTTTGTCAAAATTAATGTGTTGCACTGTCTAATGTATGCTATAAAAACTGGCGGCCTGACCACCACATTTATGTCTCAATATTAGTGTTTTCTGAGGTATGTGCGTCACTATACATGTGCATGCAAAAAAGGCAGAGAGCAATTCGTAGTTTATAACATCTCTGCGCCCAGCTCACAAAAGGCAAAATTGTCTACCAAGGCTGCGGCTCCTTTGCTAAGTGCAAGTAGCTATTCTCATTGTTCCACTGTAAGCAGCTAAAATCCTATATCGTAGCTACAACCCTTGCATTTTTGCACAAGTGGGAAATTTCCTGCTAAATCAAGAGAGTAATCATAATCACTTCAAAGCCCTTCAGTGCATTCTCTGTAATTTTCTACTACAAAGCATTCGATTTGTGGGGAAAAAACGTGTGCTGCGCTCGTAAAGACTCCCTACAATTTTGATGTCAGGGCATGGGTGTTTTACCAAAACTCTCTCCTCTAGGTCTCCAAATCCATTTTCATATATAGTCATCCCACTTTCTGACAAAGTTCACTTTTCCTTTTGGGAGTCTTCTCTGGATGACAAGCCAACCTCCACCGTCTGTCACCATGTCACAACGAGCAAGCATGTGGACATTTGGACTAAAGGGGCTTGGGGCCAGCAGTATGCCTCACACTATAAACACCACTTGGCCAGGATGGTGGTAAACATTATTATCAAGACAACAAAAAACATATAGAGAAGGGTGAATGTCAAATAACTTATGAATTGTTATTCTAGATGTGGATAACAGCAACTCTAGGTGTGTGTCCTACCCCACACTGTTGCGTTGTTTATGGCACACTATAATATACTCGAAGTTTATAGTTGTAAGTCGGCCTCTAAGATGCAATTTGGATTTTGTTGGTGAGAACACAAATCACTCACATTCGCTATAGCTAGCTACCCCTGTGCTAAACTCATGGTCTGAGTACAGCTACAAGGCCACTTTTGTGCGGCATGCACAGGCGCGTCCAATGCCCGTTGACAGCTTAGTTAGCAACAAATGGCATCGTTATAATGGAAGAGCTCCACGATCAACCATAGAGAAGAAAGTTAGCTCTCTCTTTTGTTGTGTTTTGTTAAAGAACCCAGTGATGTAGACATACATCTGTGGCCAAAGAGCAGTCCGTTCTTGGGTGCAGTCCAATTAAATGTGAAAGGAACACGGGGTTCATTTATTACAACCACTGGACAAAAGAAGATGCTAGAGTTGCATGTAAGCAACTGGGAGCCAAACATACCAATAATTAACATGCCGTCTGTATTGGCATATTTATGCAGAGGCTAGAGTTCGTTTTACCCAACACAAAGGAGAGGCAAGTGGCTGGATCACGTAAGCTGTGAAGGAAATAATAGCTGAATAACTATCAGCAATAACTGAGGCATTAGTCGTAGCTGTTTTCTTCAGTCCAGCATGTATAATTATTGTTGACTAGTCATCCCTGTAATTAAAGTTAATTCACTTTCTCTTTTCTGCAGGATAAGTATTCAGACTGTTATCGAAAAAATGAGTTAGTAGTTAACTGCTAGTAACATTAATGTGTAAATGTATTTGATGTGCCCAGCACATAGCTAGTGTAGTTGGATAACCTCAATTTGCAACCAAGAAATATTTTTTGCAAGCTGGGACACTTACTGTGTTATTAAATGCAGTGTGTGACTGCTCCCCGACAATTTCTACAACATTAACAAATCAGTGGTCTGTTTCGCAACAAGTTTCTTTTCTACATTGACTATACAAAGGAAGAAAGAGAAAATACTGAGTAGTATTTTACAATAATTATTCATGTCTCAAAGTATGATACAAGACTTGTGTACTAATGGGTTTCCTTACATACACACACACATGCATACAGTATTTTTGACATGCAGTGAGAATCATATATAGGTGCCATAATATAGCTTTACAATGTCAGTGTCATCGCTCAGAAGATGTCCATTATAAGCCTAAAGGAGGGCTCGGAAAAGGTGCATTTTGAGGCATGTCCAAGATTTGACTTAGCATTTATGCCAAAGCTACACAGACACAGTTAGTCACGAAGTGCCACTGAGATATGCAGCCAATGTCATTTCCCAAAAGACTTTTGGAATCAAAAAGTGTCACTGGGGGATAGTGGTGGGAGGTCTCACCTGCAGCGTTGCAACAAAGGACACACATGTTCATTATTCCATTATCAAAACAGTGCATAGCAAGCATTGTTTTAGAAGGACAAGTCACGTTAGCTACCACGTTGACAACAACGATGAATAAAGCTATTATCCCTACTGAACTGCACGCACAGCTACTATTATTTTTTTTAGGGAATTACCTATTTGGCTTACGTTTGACTTGAAGGTAATTCTCCCTAATATGATGTGGTTTGAGCTTAATACTTACATACTTGACCATCAAACTGAATGATTGCAATGCATGCAGAGGGTCTTGTGTTGCTGTGGGAGGAATAATGACCTTGCATTAAGTAACTTTATACCGCTGACGCTGCTCTTGTGTCATGATGGTTATGTAATCAAAGTCACACCACAAGTGACTGTACTATTCCTCTAGTATAACTCCATTATGTGTATGTGGCAGCTGGAGGAGAACAACCATTAATATTATATACTACTTGGGCCGAAGACACGAACACAGTTAATCATTGGATGCTATTTGGATGTGCAGTCATAATGATTTGTTGCTTAACTTTCTCCCAAAGCACTTTTGGAATCAAAAAACCGTGAGTGGGAGGATTCACCAGCAATGGGCACAGTACTAAAAACAATACGTATAATAGCTTTAGCACGACGAGTCACGTTATTCACAAACTAAAGCATCAAAAACAATTAAATACGAAGCTGTACACTGAATGTGCAGTGTTAGCTACTTGACATGTTTGCCAGGGTAGTATTATACTTTTCACATGAAGACAAACGTCTATGGACATAGTGCAATTCCAAACTATATTATGCACTCATTCGAGATGTATGTGGCTCATACATGGGTATATACCAGAGCTGTTACCAGTCAATTGGTTTCAGCGCCGGATGGGGTCAAACCTCTGCTGCTCGACACCTTATGCCGACAGCCCCCACGTTTCTACCACGTTATATCAATTTGGGGTGGCCACAAGTAGTGATGAAAAAATGTATGAAACCTCATAGTATACATAAAAAGCACTTATACCAGGGTCGAACGCTTCGATGTCAAAAACTAGTCTGTGAGTCCTTCCATCAGAACACACCCAATACTTAAAATGTATACACAAGGAGCACATTTCCACTTACTCTCCAACTACAATGCTCTCCTGCTGTGCATGCCCCCATCGATTCTCGAAGTGTATTAAAACAGATAGAGCTAAGAGGACAGTGTGTGTTTGCTGCTGCAATAAGCCCGATTTCGTTATCGCATGTCTTATGTAAAAGTAAAACACATAATTTGGAGTGGACCTTTGTTTCTATATAGTAATGCTATAAAAAGGTTCATATGGAAAGTTATTTGTCCATCTTTTCTTACTGAAGGCAGTTACTCCTGCATTGTGTAAGAAAGAACAATTAATATTTTGTGACAGTGTTAATTGCTGGATTCTTACGACAGGGTGTAATCCCAAAACTTTCCCACACAAGGATTCACATTCTCGTCACCAGATTCCTCTGTCACTAAAAATAAATTGCTCCAGCATTTTTCCCCCCAAAAATGGATGCACTTACCTATAATATTACTTGTTCCAAACTTAACTCTCTCCTCACAGTTTTCTTCATGGTCTTGTATCAGCAGAACGTATGTTCTCTCAATACCGTCGGACACCAGGGCTATTTGAAATGCAATAGTCTGCGAAACAACAAGTGTGAATAATAGTAGAGACACTTTTTTGGCAAGCAGAGTGAGTTCGATTTTTCACTCACTTCACGCGTATTTATAATCGCGTTTAATGTTATGGTATGTACAGTGCCCGCATTCAGACAACAAAATTTGCTTGCTTTGCTCACAAATTAGTCTAAAATAGAAGTTGCCTCACCTCATTGCAGCCTATCATTGTCACATTATTCCATGTGACGACTAGCATGTTATTGAGCTCAAACTCATCCACTCCATCAGCTCCAGCTGTACTGAGGAGGTTCATTATGTCCTCTCTCCTCTTAGAGAACTGTCTTTGGCTTGGATTCACAAAATACCAGATTTCTTTAGCATTGTCAATATTGGTAGCAAAGATGCAACCAACATTTTTTCTACGAAGCATACTTTACCATTTCTATAAATCTGTTGCAGGGTAATAAAACACAGATGACAGACTGATTATGAAATACTACAGTTGGTTGTGCACTTACAAATATTCTTCCTGCAAAGGGTGGAAATTGTTCAATCATGTGCTGTACATTGTAGTCATTTCTCAGCTTCATATCAAAGTAATCATCAGTGTAGGGAATAAGCTTCTGTATTTCTAAGTACGAGAAGCAAAAACTAACAAACAAAGCTGTTGATATTCATACCTTGACAAAAAGGGGGTGGTTCATCCCAATTGCCATTATTACACCTTCTCTCAATGTTCATTCCAACGAGCTGGAACTCAGGGTTGCACTGGTAGGTAACCCAACATCCCTGGGCTGAGTTTGTTATCTCATACGTTCCATTGTCAAGCTCTCCAGGTGGTTCACACCCACAGTTGCTACTCTCTACAGAAAAACACTAAATTATTAGGTGTATCTCATGACTTTTTTACCATGATTCACTGAAGATGGTTCCCCTGTGATGTTGTATATAAAGACACCATTGATTCCAGTATTGCTTGTGGTCCACAAGCTTTCCACATTGCCAAACAGTGGCAACAGCTGAATGTAAGCACTTCCTGCAAGTAGAAACCAGAATTCAAGTATCTATAATTATATCAAGCAATGTACCTTTTAGTATAAAAACACTTGGTACTTGGTTCTAAAATTATGTTATTAGACTATGAACATACCAGCTTTGAATCCTGTCACAACTGATGGTGTACAATAATTGTCAGGTTCCTTAGTTCCATTATATAGCAGAAATGCATATGTTGTGGTAGAATTTGAAGCCAGTGCAAGCTGAAATGTTACGTTCTGTTGATGTAATACAAGCCATTTTTATGTACATCTATATTATTGATATCGACCTTACCAATTGTTTTTCACATAAGGAATATTGTACCCAAGATACAACAAGAAAGTCTATTATGTTGAAATCATATATTGATGAAGCTTCGAGGAGACACTTTGCATATTCTTTCTGATACCTTTGATAGTGGTACTTAGTACCTCTTGAATCGTACAAGAAATAGGCTGCTTTAGTGTTTGTGAATTCAGTCAAGTACACTGCTATTGATAGGGAGCCGTCATTAAATTTGACAGTGCCATTGTGATAGATCTGTAGTGAAAGAAGAATTGAATGGCCGTTTTAGTCAGGTAGTTAGCTTTTAATGTTCCCTTGGACTTACTCACATGTATTGAATTCAATTCTTCACCAAAGAATCGATGATGTCCATCAAGGGAAGATGAATGTACAAGCTCTGTGATATTTGTTCCACTGCCATCATTGACACATGCTGGGATCAGTGCACCTAACAAATGAAATTCACTATATACCAGTACTAATCATAGAGAGAGAAAGGTTGCTAACTTTGGTTACATGTCAGCTCTTGCCAGCTTTCAGGGCATATCTCTGCAAAGATAATGGCAGCATCAACATACTTACACAAACCCTTTGCGCATTTTTACATGTGCAACAGTTAAGCATCTGACACGCTGAGGAGAGGCAGTTGATGGTTGAAATTTAAAAAAGACAACTAGAAGGCAATAATAAATTCCTGACGGCTTGCATTCCGAGCTAGAGCATAAAAATGTTGCAGTTCCTGTCGATCATAACCGATTGAATTTGTAGAGGACTATGCTGCATTGTAAAAGTTTTTTTGTTTTAGCGTGTATATAAGCGTCAAACACAGAGCTACCAACCGAATGTGGTAAGTATAAGATAGTATCTAGCTACACATGTAGGAATGTTATGCCACAAAAGCACTGGCTATGATTTTTAGTCTTACTTTCACAGATGGGTTCTGTTTCAGACCCGTCCTTACAATCACAAGTCCGGTTCTCCATGTGCATGGTGCTGGGCATGTAGCCAATTTCACAGTCATCCTCGACAGGGTCTGTAGCAAAAAGTCAGCAGAACAACTTTCTCAGTCACAAGAAGCTGCTTTTACAGCACAGTAGTACACAGTGTCACTATTACAGCAAAAAGCTTTATAATGTAAATTCGTGACAATTTCCATTTAAAGTGGTATTTTTTCATCCCCTACGAATGTAGTTAAAAGTTGATGCACTATTACTACTGCTTAGCCCCAATTCAAAGCTGTAGCTACCAATTCAATCCATGACCAACCCAATGTTATTCTTACACCAATGTTCTGCTTACTGGAAATGATGAAGAGGGAAAGCTTTCCCTTCAAATTAACGTGATTTGTGGCCCATCGGAAAAATTAAACTTTCCGTTCACTTCCCATCATTCAAACAATAACACTAACTGTAGAATAATACCTGGGCAAGAAATGCTGGGTCCAGACCATCCTTCCTCCTTAGTACAAGTCTTTGTCATGTCCAAAGGGATATGATTCACACTGTTAGCAATCATGTCGCCATTGCATGAATAAAAAGCCTGAGAACCGAGTGTTGTCGTGGTGTAATACACTTGACCGTTTTCTGGCGGAGTTGGAGGACCACAGTCAACACCTGTGAAAAAATGAAATTCACCCGTGATTCTCAATTATACATAGTATTTAGCAAAACCAACCTTCAGCAACGATTCTGTTCCTAATCCGGAACATAAACTTTGTTTGACAATCTGTGATGGGCTTGACATAGGCTTTCTGGATGTTTTCTGAAATTGTGAATCCATAAGAAATGACATTCCCAGGCCTATGTAGCTACTTCAGGTAGATGGCATTATTGGATTAGCACTGTTTGACTTGTACAGACAATCAGTATGTATGTGTCTGGCTGCATATCACACGTGCAGGAATCTACGCAATGCGTTCAAGTTTCACGCTATACCAGCGCTTTATTAATAGGAAATACCAGCGACCTTCATGGAATGACTGTTAGCCTTACATAGAGCCTGCACAAAATGTTGACTAGCACAACAGCTGGATTTATTACAACTTGTCTGGAAGAAGAGCTAGCTGCTGTGTAATAATACATCCATTGAGGTAAAGCTGACAACGTGCAGAATTCCCTTGCATATACTCTTCAACTATATACCAACTATACTGAAAGCAGAAGGAACATCTCTTCGATGCAGTAATGTAAAAGGCAACCATATTGCAGATTCTCTTCCTTCCATGCATATCATTATGCTCCGTCCAATGATTCCTTGTTCCATAGCTACTGACCATTTTTATTGGAGGGTTAAGGCAATAAGGTTGCCTGCAATGCTTACTTGTTTCTATAGTTATGTTAAGTGGACCACTAATAGTGCTGTCATCAGTGATATTGTAGAGCACTAGAATGTACACTTCTTCAGACTCCACATCAGTTACCACTATCACTTGAAAGACACTGGTAGTCGTCTGCATGGCAAAAGACTGTATGTTAACGTTTAAGCAATAGATAGCTAACCTGAATGTCGTCAGTGCCATAATGTATTTCAGAAAGGTTGAAATTCTCTGGAACTTGGCTAAATCCATCAGCAAGTAGGCTGAGAATGTAACTTTTGTAGCATTCAAAAACTATTCTGATGCTAGCATTGGGTTTTTTGTCACTATTGAAGCTTACACCACTCAACCCTTCCCACTGAAGGCTAACAGACACTGATCTGGAAGACACTGATGTTGTTTTAAACACCTGCACAATATTCAATCACAGTGAAGTATAATATTATAATATAAAGAGACAAAACTCAGGCGAAACGCACAATAGTATTCTCCAGTTGTATTGTATGCTGTTGCACCTCACATTCACCACCAGCACCGTCAGCGTACGGTAGAAAAAAATCAACTACAGAACATTAGTGTAGACGGATAGCTAATAATCAAGAAAGATACTCACATGTCGCGATACATCCGGGCGGATTTGTGCACCGTTCTTGTGTCCAAGCTTGGCTAATAACTATTAAAAATAACAACGCCCGAATCATTTCCTTTAGTGGCACAAAGACAATCATAGAAAACCGTTCGTGAGAATCACGACCACAAGGGAAACGGGCGTAGCTAGCTATCCACTGTCGTGGGCCAATTAAAACACGCGGAACTGCAAGTGGATCCGGAAATGCGAATGAAAGAACTTTGACGGAGGAGCACTTATAACTCGTCGTTTAGTTGGTTCAGGGTTGGATACTATTGGCGTATATACTACATGTAAATTGCCTTCATTGGTATTTTTGTAGCTACAGCAGTTCCAAATCTCAGAGGAGAATGCATGACCATACAGATCGCACGTGAGACTGACTGAGCTGCTGGGTGAAGTGGGAGTTGGAACCGCACGCAAAACGCGTGTGTTCTCGCAACGTAGTGTAAGCGCAAACCTTTGTGCTGTGATATATAACACACAGATTATGACGTAATCCACATGGATGGGATAAACATGAATGCATGGGGGTATGTGGACGCTCTCAATCAGAATATTTGTGCTATAGATCCGTATTTTGATTTGATTATCTACCAACTATTGAATAGCAAGCATGTTTTAGTAGGTTTAGTCACGTACACATCAGAATTCAGGGGTGCAGATTTGGCGCTATGACACCAATGGCGGCGCCATGAAGTTCTTCTGGGCGTCGAGAGTCAATATCGCGGCGCCAGCGCTCTTCCTCGGCACTGCACACAGTGCGCATGCGCCGTTCGTGCGTTCTGTAGCTATGACCTCTGAGGGGAGTGCAGCAGAATAACCTCAATGCCTGTGTGGCTCTTGCTCTGTCTGAGTATATATACAGTACAATCAGTACAAACATTCCAGTTTCTTCCTAAAGAAGCATTGAAATGTGTATGTGTTGAATTTTCTTGCATGATTTGGTTTACATGGTTCTAGCGGCGCATATACACTGCGCGATGCCGGCAGCGACGAGTGCGCAACGCGCAGCGTTAGCCCACCCGCATATCGCGCGCAATTTGCTAACTCCTATCATGAAAGTTGTTTATTATTATTATCATTATTATGACAGCGCTTCAAACTCATGTGGGTACCATAGTAAGGCAGAGCTAGCAGTCAGCAGTACATAGTGTTCTGGGCTTGTTTTCGTGCAATAACATGACCGACCGAGACGTGTGTGAATACAATTCGGCAGATGCAGTCGCGCATGCGCGGCTCATAACGTTGAGGGTCGAAAAGGTCAGCCACCAGGTGGCCAGCATGGCGTCCCTAGACGATTTCTTCGCTAAGAAGGACAAACGGAAAAAGGGGAAGTCGAAGCAGAATTTTGTAACAAGCGAGTTGCTCGCTAAGACTATAGAGGTAGAGTTTGGGTCATGTTTTAGAATCATACTTTGCATAAGCAACCATTTGCAATATTTCCTGTAGCTACTTTGGAGCTATGTCGTCTGCAGCTCTGCGTACAGTACATTTGGTGGTTTAAGCATGTAGTGAGCGGTGTGTGTAATCACAGGTGTTGTGCCCCAAGTAAATATAGTGAGAAGAGCATTGTGGTAACCGCTGTGTGTGTGTGTGTGTGTGTGGGTGCGTGTGTGTTTGTCCTATCAGGAGCAGTCAGCAGCCCCGAACACGTCAGCCGAGGCAGAGAACAAGGCCAAGATTGACCTCCCTGCAGCACCCACTCAGGTCAGCTCATGTGTTGTGGTTAATGTATAGTCTCTTATGAAATGGGAGGAGCAGGTTCTCCCCCTCGTTAGGGAGGGAGCAGGGGGAGGAGGAGGGAGGGTGTATAGCAAGAAGGATAGGAAAAACAGTAGCACAGATGGGATTTTTATGCCCATCTTAATACTTATCACATGCCAAGTGTTGGTGTAATCCTATGATCTCACTTTACTCCTCTTCATTGCTATATACTGCCTTGTTGACTACTCTTCCTTGACTCCCTCTCTCTCTCCCCCTCTTTCCCTGTACTTTCTTTACTCCCTCCCTCCCCTCTATACACTGTTTTCCTCATTCTTCACTCTTTCCTACCCCTGTCATTACAGGAAGATGAGTGGAAGGAAGAGGAGGAGGTAGTGAAAGATTTTGAAGGCTTGCGAGTCCAGAAACTGGACAAAGAGTAAGTCAAACAGTTACTGTATATATAGATTCCCGTCATCTGCTTCACTATTTAACATCTCCTTCCTCTATGTACATATGTACCATATGCACAAATTTACCTGTGACACACATTTGATGTTTTCCGCAACTGTATCATAGAAGCCTTTTTCGCGGTTGCTTTTTAGATTCCTCTCGATGTGTGTGCATATTATGTGAACGATGTGGATTTGTCATCTGTATTGGTTGTAAAGTTATAGGACCTTTGCACGTTCTTTGGATTGTGCGTGGTATGTAAGTCTAGGTGTTTGCTGTAAGGTTTTGCAAATTCATCCATGATGCGTGTAGGCGAATATTAACCAACACACAGCAATGAAAGTTGCTGTTGCTGGTTATGCCACAATTATTCTATTCCCCTTCTCTCCCTTTCTATCCTTCTCTCCCTTTTTGTCCTTCTCTCCCATCCCATCCCCAGAGAAGGTGAAGTGGTAGAGAGGGTGCAGGTGGTTACAGAGTTTGAGGAGAATTGTAAGTTATTACAGTACACAACCAGCTATTACCAGCAGCTTTCTCTTGCTCTGGAATCATTCACTCCTGATCGTAGACTTATATAATAACCCTCATGTTACGATACTTGGTTAGTGAGTATGTCGGTCTGTCGTTCCATCTTTTACCACGTCTATCACCACGCACAACAAGACAACATGACAGCATGTTCAGCACTTCACTGGCTTGATTTTCAAAGGTAATTTTCGTAAACGTACTGTGTTCCAGTGTGATGAAAAAAACCAAGTGGAAAAGCCAATTGCAAATTAGCACAGGCTTAACCTCGCCAGCTCCACTTGCTCTTCATACCTTGGAGGCACCAGAAGTTGCGACGTATAGGGTCGAGTAGCTATTGACTCCCGCATCCTATCTAGTAGTGTAGCGAGCCAGTGGCAGTCTCTCAGAGTGCTACGAGAGGCCACGTAGCCCAACCCGCCAATTAGTGATAAGGGCCCATGTATGCGTAATAGTTAGATACACAATATTGAACTCGCTCCTGCCAAGTATAGGGTGTGGTCTGGTGGATAAGTACCCAAGACTTGAACCTTGAGGTCCATGGTTCGATCCCTGTCAGAGTGATTTTTTTTTATAATGATGTAATATGGGTATTGCTATAAGAGGAACGTTTTTTCACCCCTCTCACGGCCAGCCTGAGTGGCGAAAGTGGTAGAGACGTGGGGACTGACACCATAGGTGCCAAGTGGCAGGGGTTCGAATCCCGGCCGGCACTGAAACTGTCAGGTGGTCCAGAGCATTGGCTGGGAACAGCTCTGGTTCCTCCCCTTACCCATGAATCTACCACCTGACCCATGTTTCTCAAAGGGCAGCGTATAGTTCGGCATAGCACTGCGTCCGTAGACGTCTGTCTGGAGAGATGGAGGGCTGGCCTTTTTTTTCAACTTTAGAATTTTTGGTTTTGCCTAAAACAACCATGAAATTGTGAAAAACATTCATCTCTTTTTTCAACCTTAAAATTTATTGTTTTTGCTACTACTATCGATGAATAAGTTTAAGTTGTTTATAACACTTGGTTATCTTTTTTCTCTAACTTATAAATTGGCAGTTGAAGTGGTGTAGAATATTCAACCTTAGACTTTTTTATTAGAGCTTTAATCTTTAAAATATTGCCACAAAATTATAAAATTCCTCACAATGAGGATTATCCACTTTAAGAATCATGTTACAGTACTTGGTCTGTGTGTCCATCCGTCTGTCTGTTACCATGCAAAAACAGCCAAAAAAGCCAATATGCACAATCGCACTGGCTAACCTCGACCTGATCCGCTTGCTATGTGTACCATGGAGGCAGAAGAAGTCACATTATTAGGCAAGTGAAGCGAGCTGCCTAGTCATCTCAATCCAGAACTTTTTAATTAAATGTACGGGAACTGACACATTGTGTACTACATGATTTTATACGCACGAAACACGCGGAAAATCAAACCGCTCGCTTCACTTCCTCTGGCTCTGGTATAGCGGTTTCGATCTCGTATGCTAGTTCATGTAAAACAACAGCTCACACTTTACTCACATATGTACATACATGTATACATCATGTTTGTCTGTTGTGTACATTATATGAATGTTGTGAGGGTGTTTGTTGCTACGGTGTTGCTACGGTGTTGCTACGGTGTTGCTACGTGTTCCTACAGTTGTGGAGGGAGAGGGTGTGGTGAAGGAGGCCTCTCCCTGGCAACCCGTCACCACGCCTCAACCACCAGGTCAGTCAGGAGTCCAGCTGTTTGAGTAGAGCACATGTGCAGTAGGAGTCAGAAAATCTTGTTTTGAACCCCAGTTTGTGTATAATACATTACATCACTATTACATCACTATTACATACGTATGCTCACGGCGGAATGAGAGTGTGACTCGTGCTAAGGTGTTAGAGTCGCCATAACAACTGATCGTGCAGGTAAAGGTAATGCCCGGACCCTGCCAGGAGAGGCAAAAGGTCTAGTGATAGTTTAGCTAACTAGCACTGTATATTATGTAGTGACACATGTTTCTTTGCTGTATGCTGTAGATGCTCTGTTGGAGGAAGCTCCCCAACCAGAACCAGAACCTGAAAAACTGGCTGAAAAACTTCCCAACGTTCAGAAAGACGTCTATGTGCCTCCGGGGGCACGTGGAGGAGGAGGGGGAGGGGGGAGGGAGGGAGGGACATACGTCCCGCCCCACATGAAGAGGGCGGCGGCCGGAGGAGGCGGGGCCTACGTTCCTCCTGGGATGAGACGAAGTGGGATGGGAGGGGCGAGGGGTAACAGAGCCCCTCCCGATCTCAAGAGCAACGTGGCCTTTCCCAGTCTTCACGACATGGCCAAGAAAGGGGAGGGAAGGTAACGTTCGACTACGTAAATTATTGTCATACATACATACGTACATACATATGTAAAGGTTTTGTATACATAGTTCACGTGTGCATCCCTAACGCGTATTATGCACTGTTGCATAACTCTTCTTATCTTCTGTTCATATCAAGGCTTCGTGCGAAAATTATGCAACCTACGAAACCTTTCTGCTACACATGTTGATCGAATCTCTGTTCAGTAGCAGCAAAACTTAAATCAGCAATTTGACTATATAATATGTGTCTTACACTCTTTCATTCTGGGATGTACGTGTACCACTTTCTGACCCCTGCAATTACTCAGGAAAGTGTGCCAACATACATATACACATGATGTAAATTGCCCGTTTTGTGACGTGTCAAAGGTCGTGCAGAGTAGTTCAAAAGTTGCACTCTGTGTACTACTTGGTTTCCCTTGCATTATTATTGAGAAACGCTAGTCAGCAGGAAAAGTAAAAGGTCAGCGTGTGCTCCAAATGTGCACTCATTATTCGGCATCACTAGAACTGCACCGCAGTTAACACTACTAATCTACCCAGATCCCCCCACCCTCACCTCTACGATGTAACAGAGAGGAGATGAAAGAGAGCCATAAACCTCTGTAAAACCACACCCACACCTTAGTGTGCCAAGTGTTGCCATGTGACTGAGTGGTTGTGGTTGATCCCATACTAATCCATCGCCTTATGTCACATCTCCTGACTTTTTCACGCCACCACAGAGACAGTTCATCAAACGGCCAGAGTGTGTATATATATACTGCTCTGTATTGGTGTCTAATGTCTGGTTGTCTAAGACCTGAGCATTGCTGTGGTGGGAAAGGTATTGTATGGACCACCTGCGAGGATGAACTGATTTGCGAGCCTACCTAGTCGTTTAAATGCAGGAATTTATATGTATATATTTACATGTGACGGGCACTGCACTGGCACTACACATACCGTAATGTTGTACGTGATTTTAAATACGCGCAAAGCACGCGCGCAATATTAAACTGCTCGCGCTCGCTCACCAAGAATGCGTGGCATTTGTTTAGTATTAGAAAGAAAAGTTCTGTTTGGAGTAGAGTATACCATTATTCAGACTGTTAAAGTTAATGCCTATGAGTTCCGATTCATAACACACTTGAACAATACGAAACACCCGAGCGTTTGTTCAAGGTTCTGCTTTAATTAGAGCATAATATTCATAGCTTCCTGTACACTGAGTGTTCATCAAACTAGCATCTAATGTGACCGAAGCGATTCGGACACCTCCGCGCATGTGCTGCAAGTATTTGATGAGTTAACTGAAGTGCATGTGGTGTAGCTAATTGTAGCTCTCTAAGTATGAGGTATTACTGTATATGACCTTTTGACCTCACCACCCACCTACTACTCAAATGCGTATGTACATACATGTATTATCTCACATGGTTTTTTGTTTGTGCATTAGGTTGTCCCCTGGTCCTATTGATACCATATTTAGTTATATAGTTACACATGATCTCTTTTCCCTATTTATAGTTTGTGGTTGTGAACACTAGGTATGGCATGCATTCTCACACAGTATTTTACTGTACTGGCTTATGCACATTAAAGATGGTTTCCTGGTCCTATCATACCATAAGTTACACATGACCTCATTTCCCTCTAATAGTTGTGGGCTTGTGTTTGCACATTCTTACATACTTCTCACACAGGTTTTTTTTATTGAACATGCATATTTGTGTATTGGGTTCTGAAACTATTGCACATAGTTTCCCTGGTTTCCCTGGTCCTATCGATACGTATGGAGCTACACATGATCTCTCTTCCCAATTTGTCTAATATGTGTACATTGTGTGGGTTGAGCAGTTCTCATATCAGGTGTCAGCCATAGGACTAGGGACATCGACCACACCCCCATAGCATGGGTGGAAGTTATCACTAAGGCAAGTGTTCCCTTCTTTCTAGAACAGAGGCCTTGCGCACAAAAGGGGTTTCATGTACAGATGCTCTAAAACATGCTCACTTAACAAACTGCACTGAGTAATGCAATAAGCTTCTCATGTATGTCATATGTATCCATTTGTACACAGTATATAGCACTGCTATAGTAATGAAAAGCACTGAAGTGCAAGCCCTTGGTGCATTGTGACGCACACGCGTAAGTTAAGGCATGCGCGGTACCACTAATTGATGGGCTGGGTTTATAGTTTAGCTGTTACTCGTGGTCTCTTGCCAGCTCGTGCAGAGTCTGACGCGGGCTAACTACACTACTAGATAGTATGCGAGAGGCGATACACGCCCTGCGTTGCATCTTCTGGTGCATCCGAGGTACGCAGAGCACGTGGATCGGACAGACCGTGGTAAGCCATCCCGTCCGTTGTGTATTTGCATATTGGCTTTTTCGCGCTCTAGCTTTGCAATGGAGCCGTTTCAGAGAAAACCGTTCGAAGCTTCTGACCTTCATTGCCCGTTAAGTACGTTGTATCGTTTGTGAGACGAATAAACATTCGAGAAGTGAGATGTAGGGTAACAGACAGACAGACACACAGACCAACTACCGTACCCTCGCTGCGCATGCGCACCGAGGGTAATAACTTCTGGTCATCGGTCAATTTCAAGTTAAAATTTGATGGTTTGTCAGGGCAAAGGTGCATTTGCGCGAGCAATTTTTCAGACGTCCTTGGACCGCTACCAGAAACTTCAGAGATCGTGTTAGCTCAACTGCCCCTCGCTCGTAGCAAGCCTACAAATGCATAGGAGGGCAAATTACAAAGGTTTAGCAATACTCAAAGCTGTAGCTGCACATGCTACAAACATGCTCCGAGCAAAGAATTCATGTACGTACATAATGACTGTGTGTGTACACATTCAGGTGGCAGAGAATCATACTGTCTACCGTTTGGTATGCACATAATTATGCTAAATGTCGTGTAGGGAGGCACAAGTTCATACGTACATATATAGCCAGTTCTAATCCTGCAATGTCACGCCATATTGTTGACTGGCATTAGGTCAGCACAAAGTTGTCATCACTTCAATAACTGACGTTAACTCCTACGAGGTACACGGGGGGCATTACACAACTGTGCATGTGTGTGTTACATAACTGGACCTACAGCTCAGCCTCCCACAATGCTAATGCAATTTACTGACACTCTGCAGAGTGTAAATTACGAGATCAAATTCTTTCTAACCATAGTGCAGTTGAACTTCTCTTGCACTTGATATACACGTGGCTATCAGTACATGCAAATTGTCTAATAGAGAAGTTAACGTGCACATTTATGTGTATATTCATCATTCCAGCTTTTTTGCGCATTGAGTTCTATTGACTTGGTATACTGAAAAGTATCTGACTGTTTGGTGGTGGTGTTTGATGGTGTACTGAAAGTATATATCTACCCTCTTTCAGCTAAATAGGTTAAAACTAGTCGTATCCATGGTGCCCAAGCAGACCAATGCCAGAGGGCGGAAAGGGAACCTGCATTCATTCCTGGTTTTTGCTAACTGCAATGTATGTACGTAGAAAAGTGGGAAGCACGAATTTCGCAATGGTATGTGCCATCTGCGAAATTCGGTGAGCCATTTGTTCATCCTGGAATCAGCTATCAGTGACTGTTTTCTCCACAGCATTTCACTGTCACTACTAAACCAACATGCCAAACTGCAAAATATTTCTTCCTCGAAAAGTTCCAGCTATACCCTAACATTCTGTGTATATACCAAGCTTCCTCAGTGACTGTGGTTACGAAAATGCAAAAATCCAAGCACGGCTATAATAAGTTAGTGCAGATTTAAGCAAATTCTGCAATTCATTTTTCTTCAACTGTATACATCATTGCCATGCTTTAAGCATATGTATTAAGTTACACACGTGTGTTGCATTAGGAACACAGCAGGTGGGGGCTGCGGCAGCTAGTTATTTGCTCTCTGTTCACGTGTTCTAAAGTGTTTTCCTGGTAGTTTGAGCTGCACTGGCGTGCCAAAAATATGCATGGTATGCTATGAACTATAATTTCATGGTATGTTTTAATTAATTACCCCATGCAAGCTGCTCTCCTAGCAACTGTCTCTAAGGATCGAATTGCAGAAAATGTGACCTTTTCTTTGAGAATTTGTGTGTGTGTGTGTGTGTGTCTACTGCAGTGTTACAATTAACTGGAGACACTTTGTGTCTGCCAACGGAAACAGCGCGTTTCTGTGACGCCTCTGGTCACGTTTACTTGTGTGTACGTGCATGTGGCCGCGAGGGATGTGTAATTGAATGAGTGAATCTTTTAATGAGAGCCTGTTGCACACTAGTGTGTAACAAGAAGCTTTATAATAGAGTACAGTAATAAAGCACTAAATGGGCCAAATGCATGAATTAAACAGGTGTTGATTATTCTTTGTTTGCGCATACCAGTCCCAGTAAGGTTGCTCCTGCAGTCCTGTGGTGTGGGTTTGTGCAATTTTTTTGCAACGTTTAACTTCTGGTATGTAATTACGACAGTGAGAACTACAAAGAACGACATAGTCCACCCACACGAGATTAATGTCAATTTTTATTAATGAGGAGCCGTGTTTCTTATGCGTAACATTCGTATGTGGGTGTCACATAAATTTTTTTACTTTCTTATATATTTTGTCTGTTTGTCTGGTACTCTGACTTCACCTCTGTGTGTCGACGCTTATTCTGGCACTACAGGCTACGAGGTGACCAATGAGCGATACCAACGGCTTCAGAACTACGCAAACCTGAAAAATAATTAGGCGATTTTCCTGAAACAACTGCGTTCGAGAGATATGCCATGAAAACAAGTGAAAAACCCAATATGCATAACCGCACTGGCTTACCTCGAACTGATCAGCCTACTCTGCGTACCTTGTGGACGCACAAGAAGTTACAACTGAGGGCGTGTATCGACTCCCGCATGCAATCTATGAGTGTAGGTAGCCCGTGTCAGACTCTCCGCGTGCTACTAGCAGGAGACCACGAGTAACTGCATAGCCTAGCCCCCAACCCATCAATTAGCGATACCGTGCATGCATAGTGTGCCGAGGGTAGTGCTTTTCGTTGGAAATGTTGTCTATGCATAGCAGGCACGCAATTACGATGCTATAGCTCCACCTACTTTGCTTCAAAGATATGAATTAAGTATTTGAATGGCCCTATTGAACGTAATACACATATTTATACAGAATGTGAGTGAGAGGTCAGGTTGTAGGTATAGTGTACGTTTCCTGGAGGATATTATGTAAACCAAGAACTGAGTCAAGGTTTGGGCTGAGTTTGGGTAATGGGTATTGTTGTAAATGTAGTCTCACACAATTACGATGCTATATATAGCTCTACACTTTGCCTCAAGGATATGAATAAGTATTGAATGCTGCCTATTGAACACTAACGTATTTATAGCATGATATGTGATGTGTACGCTAGGTCAGTTGTACTAAGACTGTCCTGAGATATTATGTCGTAGACCTCTCAACATTCGATGGTATGTTTATTATTGCTCTACATATTCTTTGCTTCAGGATATGAATTAAGTATTTGAATGGCCCTATTGAACGTAATACACGTATTTATACAGAATGTGAGTGAGAGGTCAGGTTGTAGGTATAGTGTACGTTTCCTGGAGGATATTATGTAAACCAAGAACTGAGTCAAGGTTTGGGCTGAGGTTTGGGTAATGGGTATTGTTGTAAATGTAGTCTCACACAATTACGATGCTATATATAGCTCTACCTACTTTGCTTCAAGGATATGAATTAAGTATTTGAATGGCCCTATTGAACGTAATACACGTATTTATACAGAATGTGAGTGAGAGGTCAGGTTGTAGGTATAGTGTACGTTTCCTGGAGGATATTATGTAAACCAAGAACTGAGTCAAGGTTTGGGCTGAGGTTTGGGTAATGGGTATTGTTGTAAATGTAGTCTCACCACAATTACGATGCTTATATATAGCTCTACCTACTGTGCTTCAAGGATATGAATTAAGTATTTGAATGGCCCTATTGAACGTAATCACACGTATTTATACAGAATGTGAGTGAGAGGTCAGGTTGTAGGTATAGTGTACGTTTCCTGGAGGATATTATGTAAACCAAGAACTGAGTCAAGGTTTGGGCTGAGGTTTGGGTAATGGGTATTTCTGCATTATTGGAGGTTACATAACTTTTTGCCAACGTCACAATGCTTCCCATTCTCCCCACTGAAAACTGAGCAGCTGTCTCGGGGAAACTGGTGACTTATGAGTGCAGATAGTCTGGTCGGAGTACTTTTGTGCCCTTAAGTGATTCTGATGTACCTACATACCGCTTCTGTTTTATATCAGATATCCTTCACCTTTCAAATATTTCCGGTTTGTCATGGCAACTATCATCAGACTGGTAGAAGTTGCACTAATAGTGGTTTGTTTGTTGTTTGTGGTATGTTTGTAGTGTGGAAATTAAGGTTAGAAGGTTTGAAAAAGGTGAGACTTGCGCCGTTTATGAGATAGTGGTCATCTGGCTATTATAGTCTCCAGTCATAATACACGAGGGAGTGCCCCACCGGCTACAGTTATTATTGGTGATGGCTACAGTGTACATCTTTTTACAATAGTCTGTCCATCACTCACACATGGGGCTTAGTGTAGGCAGCCTTAAAGCAGACTGCTGCCCAGATACAAGGCTCGAGAGACTACCACTGCGAGATATGCTGCTACTCACAGACATACACATTGAAATCAGGGGAGCAGCTTCGTAGACTGAGTTTTTTTTTCTTTCCAATGACACGTGTTTGAGTTTACTAATCAGCTGTTTCACAAAGTTTCAAAAGCGGGGCTTTATTATCACAAGTGCTAGTCACGGACTCTATACTTTGTGCTGAAATGTACTCTACAGGTACTTAAACACGCCATAGAAATCCAATACACTAAGTATAAAACTAAAGATAGCACTTTTGCTGTCTTGTTTTATTTAATAATACTTAGTGTACTGTGTCACAAATCATCAAAGGAAAAGGAGTGCTTTATTTGCCCTGTATTGTGTCTTTATATCCACTTTGTTCAGGGAGTGCTTTATTATCCCTCCAGTGCTTTATTGTGCACAATACAGTTTCCAAATATGGCTCATAGTTTACACAAGACTGTTTGAATGTATGCAAGTACTATAATATAGCAGAGAGTGACATATCAGTTGAAATGGCATAACCACTTGCACACCAAATCTGCGTCATGGCTCCATCAACATGTCAGCACAGCTGCTCGTTGGAACAACCCCTTTGGCTACGTTCTCTAGCTCCGCAGTACTCCGCAGGCTCAGCAAAACAGAGATTTGTGGTGTCTCGCAGAGTGCGCGCTTCCTTGCCAAGAGAGAGGCGCAGCCTATTCTTGGGAGGAGGAGGCTGTACCGACGTTTCCTCCAGCTCGTCCGTCCAGTCTCCCATGCCCAAGTCAAACGCTGACTGAACCGCCATTATTCTGCTTTGTTTCTCAGACGCTCCGTACTAAATCAGTTAATGTATCCGGTGGTGCACTCGCACAGGTACATTAACTAATACATAATGCATCCCTGTTCTCTTGAATTGATAGATTATGGTGTAACCCCTGTAGTTCAACGGAGAAAGGAGAGGATTTCAAGGAAGCTCAGGGACCAAAGACATCTCGTGCATCAGACGCCAACTATCGAGTGCCTGGCCTCGAACTCACCAACAAGTTCAGTGGCTTAGAAGATGACTGACTTCACCAACTGCCCATTAATACCTTTATCTGCATATTATTATA